ATACAACTATTGAGAAAAGTCAAGGAAAAGGAATGGGAGCTAAACATTTGAAAGAACAAAAAGGAATTGGTTCTTACTTCATGCCAAGAACAGGACCTGGTAACCAACCTACTATCAAAAGTGTTCTTCAAAGCAAAGAAGCTATAGAGAAATGTGACCTCACTATATCCAAGTGGATGATTGATTCGTGTATTCCTTTTAATGCTGTAAATTCTGTGTATTATCAACAAAGTATAGATGTCATAGCTAGTATGAGCCCTGGCTATAAAGGATCGAACTTTCATAGTCTTCGTGGTTATTTATTGGCTAAAAATGTTGAGGAGGTTCAGAAGTATGTTGAAAGCTATCGTTCAACGTGGAAAATGACTGGTTGCACAATTATGGCTGATGGTTGGACAGATCAATGTAAAAGAACTCTTATTAACTTTTTAGTTTATTGTCCAAAAGGATCAGTATTCTTAAAATCAGTAGATGCTTCAGATGAATCAAAAAGTGCTGACATGTTATACAAGTTATTTCGAGATGTTGTGTTATTTGTAGGTTCAGAATATGTGGTCCATATGGTGACGGACAATGCTGCAAACTATGTTGCCGCTGGTAGGTTATTGGAGCGAGAGTTTCAAACATTATTTTGGTCTCCATGTGCAGCTCATTGCATTAATCTAATGTTTCATGATATTGGTAAGCTTGATGAAGTTAGTAATGTCGTATCTCAAGCATCAAAAATAACAAAATACATATACAACCATTGCTACCCATTGCATTTGATGAGGAAGTTTACTGGAAGAAAGGAAATACTCCGACCCGCTCCTACTCGTTTTGCTACTAACTTTATTGCTCTACAAAGCATATTGGCTCAAAAGGATCCATTAAGAGCAATGGTGACATCTAGAGAATGGGCTTTATCAGCATATGCAAAGGAAAGTAAAGGAAAACGATTTGTTGATGAAGTACTTGATTCTATGTTTTGGAAATAGTGCTCTACTATTGTGCAACTTACTGAGCCTCTCGTTCGTGTTCTAAGGATTGTTGATAGTGATGAAAAGCCTTCGATGGGCTACTTGTATGAAGCTATTCATGTGGCAAAAAGTGAGATGGAGCGCAGATTTCAAAGAATGAAGAATAGAGTGGCTTCTTATTTGCAAATTATTCAGAATCGATGGGATAGTCAATTGCGTAAAAATCTTCATGCCGCTGGCTATTGGTTGAACCCTTCTTTCCAATACAATAATCCTGATATGGAAAATCATAAACAAACTATATCAGGACTTTTAGATGTAATCGAGAGATATGCTTATGGTCAACCTGATTTAAGAAGCAAATTGACCTGTGAAATGAGATTATTTAGGCAAGCACATGGTGACTTTGGACGTTTATCAGCACTAGCAGATCGTCATAAAATGGGTCCTGATAAATTTTTATTCTCATGTTATGTACTTTGTTATGTTATATAATTCAAATTTTAGTTTATGTAACATATGTCTATTTTATTTTCTTTTTGTTTTGGGACAGATGAATGGTGGATGTGTTATGGTAGTAGTGTACCAAATCTACAAACACTTGCAATTCGAGTACTAAGTCAAACATGTAGTTCGTCAGGTTGTGAGAGAAATTGGAGTATGTTTGAACATATTCATTCTAAAAAGAGAAATAGACTTGAGCACCGAAGACTTAATGATCTTGTTTATGTGCACTACAATTTACGATTGCAACAACGGTAATGTTATTTAAATAAATCATTTCATCCTTCCGTGTTTTTTTTTTTTCATTTTAAGATTTTGCTTCCTTTTACTAGAATTATATTTTGATTAATTATAAATTGGATAATAAACTTAGTTTAGGAATTATTTCAAAAGTCGAAATTATGATCCTATCGACTTCGAACGGTTTGGCGTTTATGGCAATTGGGTATTAGAGGAGGAGCCACCGAATATGGTAGATGATGAGTTGGAGACATTTCGTCGTGATTTGAGTGCACGCTCTATACAAAATGATAAAAACGATGGTAATTGTTTGATTGATGCTATTACTTTTTTTTGTCTTTTTATTAAAGTATATATGATGTAACGTTGAAATTTAAAACTATTTTCAGATGAATTACATTTTGATGATCTTGATCTTGATTGTGATGGAAATGACGACAATGGAAATGATACAAACAACGAAAATGAGGATTTTAGTATGACTGAGACTCCATCATTGGTGCAAGGCGAAGGAATTGAAGAATTTATGTCCAAGACCCCAACATGGATGCGCTCTAACTCTTCTTAATTGAGAAAATATTGACTAACTTCAAATAATTTATTTTGTTAACATGTTCTTTATCCACGTTTAACTTTTAGTTGATGGTTTTACTTTTGCAAGAATATTTTTAAAGCATATGAAGCTATCTTGTTAAACCTTGCCATATGAAGTAGTTTTTTTTTTTTTAATCATTGATTTTAGTTTTTATTGTTTAAAGTCCATATTTGACTATATATGATCCACAATTTGTGAAATTGGAATACAAATAGATATTTAATTAACAAAATAATATGAGGTTAATTTAGGTATTAGTAGAAAATGGGAAAAAAAAAATTTATTCAATGGAAATAGGCAATAATATTTTTAATAGGAATTGACCCACCGGTTGAAACGCCGGGTCACCGGTTAAACCACTGACCCATTGACCCACTGCATTGTCCGGGTCGATGTCCGGGTCGAGTTTGATAACTATGGATATATGTATATAATAATTTACATGATGATTTACATATTGATGATGCGATAAGAAAAGATTAAGTCGGTGTTTTTCGTCAACCAAATAGAAAACTTTCCAACCCTTTTTTGACATCTGTATGTAAAATTATTATGTAGCTCCATTATGTACAAATAACATCATTCCAAAAAAAATAATTATTCCTCTCATTGATATGAGGAATAACAGGTGCCAAACAGGGGCCATATCACTATTCATCTTTATAAATTTGTCAAATCAATGATACTTCATAAAACTTCAGTTTGGTAAATATTTTAATCTAGATTTTAGTGTAAGTCAAAATCAACAACAATCTTGCTACAGCGACAAAGTCAATGATTGACGCAATGACAGAATGATTACGTGTTAATACATAATTGGATCGTTAAAAAAAAAAAAATCCCAACACCCAACCTATCCTGTCATTTACCTTGGTCAAGGAGTATTATTCAAATCAACAATTAACTTTTACCTTGGCCAAGGACCCACAACTTTTCAACTTAACATTTTAAATTTTTTTTTATCAAAATTTACTAAAAATTAGTTTTTTATTCTCATCAAACAAGGGCTAAATGAACTATAATACTGTGTTAATTTGGCATTCAGTTAGCAAATTTATAAATAGTTTGTAAAGAGAAACACTAGTGAGCTCTATGAAATGTATGGATAATGAAGAATAATAATTATGAACGTGTGATTAGCATTATTATTTGACTTTGGTTGAATTTATATACGATTTATAAATAAATGTATATCTAAACATAGGCTTAAGTTTACAAGTCTATTTAAATCTCTCTTGTTCCAGTTTCATTTTGTCGATATTATATATTTATTATTGCGCGCAACATTAATCGAGTGGGATTTGAAGGCACCACGAAATCTTGATTTTACAAGGGACTTATCGATTAAAAATATATGGATCATATTAAAGAAAACAATTGTTCGGTACATAGATCAAAAATGATATGTAAAAATTGTTCACTTGAAAAAAAAAAAGAAAAAGAAAAGAAAAGAAAAGAAAAGGGTTGAGTTATCTAACTTCTTATAAAAAGGGGAATAAGATGTTACTGTAGATGGAACAGTAAATTAATCCGAAAATACTGTACAAGAGAAGAAAATAACATCATTTTTTGTACCTTTTTTTTATTGGTTTCTGCTAATACCATATCGTTCCATTTTTTCACTCCTACGATCATTCCTATGCTCTTCTTCTGACTTGATGGAGGCGAAAGAAAACCGTCGAGATAATCAAAAAATAACTACACCGCCTTTTCTTCATCCTTCTGCGATTTGGGTCGACACTCCTTCATGTGGGCACTCCTAAAGCATCCGTTGAATTATTGTTTGCTGGAATTGTTCACCACTTCTTGCTTTTATGGTGGCTTGACTTGTGCATTCACCAGTGGTAAATGATTCTATTCTCCATTCATTTATTTATTTCATGTCTTCTTTTATAAAAAAATTGCTAATTGAGATAGAGGTTTTATGGTTTTCTTCTTTAAGTTTATTCTTCAATCGTATCAACCCATTTACTATTATCTTGTACCCATCATTCGGTGCCGTATCGGTTCAATCAAAGAAATTGCAAGCCTTACACATTCCATAGGATCGGTCTCTGTCCATGAAGTCTTCACATGTCCCAAATGCCCACAATAATGATAGTACAAGAATGACTAATTAAGAAGGGGTGAATTGGTTTTTGAAACTTTTTCGAAAATTAATCTTTTATCATACAAGTTAAGAACAAAGAGATCAATCAAATAATAAACATAAATAAAATAATGATAAGTAAAGAGAAGAGAGTGTACAAACGATATAATTATGAAGTTTCGATCCAAACCAATGATCTATATTGATTGACTTATGGTGCAATCAAAACCCTTACAACTCTTTCGATAACTTACAAAAAGGAGCACCAATTCTTATATACTATTGAACTTTTACGATGAAACTTCGAATGAGAGATACATTATTGACACATAAAATACTTTTGCAATCACCAGGTTAAAATATGGATTTATTGTGTGGTGTTAAAATTTTTTTAAATAATCATAATAAATTTTCTTATTATGCTAATAAAATTACAATAATTTTTTTTTTCAAATAGCATAAAAAATCAATTTTATCTTCAACAAAAAAACACATTTAAAAATTAGCAATTTCATAACCACTTTTTTTTTAAATCCCCGAAAATACAATTATGAAAAAGGAAACAATATTGAATTACAAAAACCAATATCTGCCGTATTAAAAACAATATGTGCAGTAAATACGGTATGATACAAATGCGAGATGTTGCAAATACGGTATACTGTAATACGGTATGATGCAAATATGGTATGTTGTAAATACGGTATGTTGCATATACGATATGTTGCAAATACGGTATAATGCAAATACAATATGCTGTAACTACGGTAAGCTATAAATACTGATTGCTGCAGATATGGTATACGTAAATACGATTGGCACCGTTTGCAGCCTACTTACTGTATTTGCAGGCAACTTACCGTATTTACAGCTTATCGCATATGCTGCCTAACATATTTGCAGCTTACCGTATATATGCTACCTATCATATTTGCAACTTACCGTATATACTCATTTTTGTACTTACAAATATCGAGAATGCAGAGCACCGTACATTCACTTTCCAAACTGAATGTCAGAAAAAATTCCAAATGTTTATCTTTTCGACATAAGTATAAAATAAATATTAAAATATATGAAAGACAAACTATAAATGCATATGAATATGCAAGTTGATTTATAAGTTTGTGCTCAATCTTCAATTTTTCAATATTGAATTAGAAATATAATCTTTACATTCATCTCAATCATATCAACATTATCAAAAAATACAGATAAAATAGTTTGTATATTTCTTATTCAAATATGAAATATACAAGCATATTTTTTTTTAGAAAGCACAATATTGTTGCAATTGTAAAAATTATTTGTAATTATTTTCTTATATCATGAAAAATATTTTTAGATATCGTTTCAAAAACCTTCCCAAAAACTAAAATTCATACGCTAATAAAAATAGGATAAATACAAAATTCGTGCAACGTACGTGATAGTGACTAGTTTATAAAGTGCACACATCCAAGTTGACATGATTTGATTTATGAGAAAATTGTTTTTTTTTTTAAATTATTCAACCCCGTTTGATTCTCGTTTTGGGGGTAAAGAATTTATTTTGAATAATAAATTAATGAAGAATATGCTGTTAAAAATTAAAATTTATGTGTAATATTATTTTATTAAAAAATATGTGATTGAAAATGAATTTTCAAATAAATGGAACTCAAACAAGGGCTCAATAACGTGTTACCACGGGACACAATGCATACAGTAATAATCGAGGAAAAAAAAAAAGGCAAAAAGTTTCAGCCATACGGCCAAATCGGCAAATCCGTTGACTTGGCACCTCGGTCTACACTGCAGACGAGAAATCAAGTCTTCATCATTGATCATTCACCCACCGTTGATGGTGGTGGTTCTCTTATTCTCTCTTCTCATTCAACACCTAAATTTTCATTACCCACGAAACCCTCTCAATTTCATTACCCATAAATTAAATCTGTAGTTTTATCTCTATAATCTGTATGTAAAGAAATGGACGAACACCTTCAAGCAGTTTTAGCCGCCATGGCCAGTTTCTTTTTGGTGACTTTAATTCTATTCATTATCTTGGTAATTTGTAAAAGCGGCTCAAACCGACACCGTGTTGACAGCTCTATTTCCCGGGACCGTACCCGTAATCGGGGCCAAACAAGGAGCATAACAGTTCCCAAAACAGAGCTCTCCTCAACATCAGTAAGTGAAAGCGCGACTTTTGACCCGGATTTAAACCGGATATCCATGCAGGAACTCATCCACGCGACACGTAACTTCTCGCCGGATCTTATCATTGGGGACGGTAGCTTCGGCCTCGTGTACAAGGCCCGACTCAACTCCGGCACGGTCGTTGCCGTTAAAAAACTGGACGCGGATGCTTTTCAGGGCTACAGGGAGTTTCGGGCCGAAATGGAAACTTTAGGAAAGATCCTTCACCCGAATATAGTTAAGATACTCGGATACTGTGCAACGGGTAAGGATCGGGTCTTGATTTACGAGTTTATTGAGAAGGGGAATCTCGACCAATGGCTTTACGACTCGTCATCATCGTCGGCGGACGACGGCTATGATGTTGAAACAAGGTTGCCTTTATCTTGGGATACGAGAATCAAAATCATTAGGGGAGTGGCCGAGGGGCTTGCTTTTATGCACATTTCGGATACACCAATAATTCACAGAGACATTAAGGCCAGCAATGTTTTATTGGACGAGAATTTCGAGGCACATATTGCCGATTTCGGATTGGCTAGGCGTATCGAGCAGTCCCACTCTCACGTTTCCACTCAAGTAGCCGGAACGATGGGGTACATGCCGCCGGAGTACTTCCACGGCACAATTGCGACCGTGATGGGAGATGTCTATAGCTTTGGCGTACTAATGTTGGAAATTATCACGGGGAGGCGGCCTAGTTTTCCGTTTCCAGGAGAGGATGGAAAAGAAGTTCGGTTGATGGAGTGGATAAATAAGATGGCCAAGCAAGATCTATATATGGAAATGGTGGATGCTAGCATTTCAAAAGATGGACTAAAGGAAAGCACGGTAAAGGAGATTTTCCAAATTGGTTTAAAATGTACTAATGAGAATTTCAAGTTTAGGCCTACTATGAAAGAAGTTGGCAAGGATTTGGATAAGATTTTGGCGTCGAACTGAATGTCGAGGTGGTTAATCATATGCAAGTTATTAAGGTAATCGCAAAAGCGTAATACTTTAACTGCATACCATGTAGCTGCTACTATTTTGATAACGTTGGAGGTGTGTAGTGCAATTTCTTGAATTATAGTATGAACACTGTCTGCTTTGTTCCACTTGCTGTATTTGTACACTATTTTGGAAACAACGGTTGGTTATTTATTTGTGTGGGAAACAGGGTATCTTTATCGCGGATACTGAATATTGGGAATTTGAACATAAAATAGATAAGAGTTGATAAAAAATGAAACCAATATCAAAAGCCTTTATTGATTCTTAACCATTACAAGTAAATTCAATAGAAAATCAGAACTTTCAAGCTTCCTTCCAGAAAATCAAATAGCATATGAGTTGAATTTAAATCAGAAGGATTTTTAGATGAAAAGTTTATTAAGTTTAGACAAAGGAATAAGCGCTACCAAGAATGAACCAACTAAGTCTAGCTCTGTTGCCCAATTTTGCTCTTTTGCAATAAAATCTTGACATTTCACTATAATTTTGAGGTGTCAAAATACCTCAAAATTATAGAGTCGACACCTCAAGGATTGTAGTGATGTTCACTGAAATTTTGACACTTCATAATTGTAGTGACTGGCCAACAAGATTTTATCGAGACGATAGCATATTTGGACACGAATTGACTACAGAAGTCAAAATGACTAGCTTTACAATATTTCTAAAAAGTCGAGAACCAAAAAGTTCACCAAACTTAATTTTCGTGGCATCAAATGATCCAGAAACGAAAAGAAAAAAGAGGATTGCTGCATATAACATGTTTACCAGAGAAGGTGAAGTTAAAGCTTTCATTTTATGCTGGATTACTTGTTTGAAGAACTTATTTTTCAAATAATTAAATTTGAGTTCTCAGCTTAACATGTATTCTTTGTTTCCTGTTTGACAATGCACTTGAATGCAGCCTGTGGCACTGAAATAGATCGAGTATTCTGGTGCTTTGACAAAGAAAAAGTATGCAATATGCAAGAAAAGAATAGTAATGTATTTTTAATTTGTACATTAAGAAAGTATTCAATCATGGTCAGTACTTAATTATCAATCTTGGCATTATCTGTTGAATCACAATGATTTTATATAAATAATTAAAGGAAAAACATGGCAGCAAAAAAGAAAGCAAAAATTAAGTTGAATAATGCGTAAAGATATCTCAGTTTAATCGTTCCACAGTTCTTAATTATCAACTGCATGTAGTTTCAATAGGCTTTTCTTTTCCACACTTCGAAATTCTCTGGTGGAAACCGACCTTTGGACTTGATCCAATCTATACATGTGATCATAGTTTTTGTTGTAGTTGGTTGCGCGGTTTCTGATATTGGGCAGTGGAGGATGGTTCTGGATATTCTTGGCAGCACTAGGATGATATTCAGTTACCGAAGAAGATAAATGGGGCGGGGTCCCTTCTTTCTCTGATGGCTTTACACTTGAGGTACTGTTAGTCGTGCTGCTCCCCGGTTCCAGGCTAAAGACTGATATATCCGCACTTGTCTGTGCCTCCTGAAAGGTATCACAATAGATTTTGATAAGATTTTCATCTTTTAATGATGCTCACCGATTCTTGGGCTACTGACTCTGAGTGAAGTCATAACAAGGTAGGGTGTACTCAGAATTCTTGAGGTTTTCCTACTAAAGAACGGCCTTAATATCTAACAATTTTGCATTCACAGATCACAATTGTTAATCATTCGTGCTCGAGTGAGAGTGACTTCATGAAAATGTCAACTCAAAATCTAAGAATGACTTCATCTTGTCGTAAAAGTTTTTCTGGGTTTGATGTTTTAAACTCAATTAATTAGTTCAGCATAAATTGTTCGACTTTCTTCATAAGTAAATGATATATATACCTGTTTGGAAACATTCACATCTTCTTTCTGCTTCTCAGCATCAAGATTTTTCTTCCTCCACTCTCTACGCGAGCGTTGCCTCAATTTAGAAGTTCTGTGCCTGTATAAAAGTGATCAGTATTAGACTATTGAATAGTATAATAGACAAACAATAAGTTTCTTTAACACTTTCGAGTTTTATCTAATCGACCTTATCAAACTTGTCATTAGTTTGATAGAAGGGCCAATGCTATATCCTGGTGTTCCTTTCAGCATATTTATCGGAGGGTCGCAGAATTAATACTAGCAAAATCTTTTTTGATAAATATGAAAAAGATATTTAGTTTCACGGACCTTGCTACTTGTACATCCCAATTGACATAAATTATGACGGATGAAATTTTCAGGAACATTTCAGCTTTTTTTTATATATTTATTTATTTATTTTTAATTCCCACAAACTCCATATCAGCAAGAGAAATTTCATCAGTCATCATTTCTGTCAAAGAAAGTGTACAGGTAGCTTAATTCTTACTTTCGCTTTTCAAATGTCTGATCTTGGTCGTCATCCTCGATGTAAATTACAGGTAAACCAGAAATGTCACATGGTAAAGGGCTTGTATGGAAAAACTGCAATCAGAAAATTATGCATCAGACTAGAATGAAAAATTAGAAATGATGTTTCATATGAATTGTTTTGGGCATTTAAGGTTCCTAAATGTGTCTTGAAGTCCCAAAGTACGCAAACATGTAGAGAATGTTATTTAGTAAGTATTAGGATAATAGTGTAACATAAAATATGGATTCAGCATTCAGATTTTCTCACTTCATGTCGGAGAGCAGACGCTGCACTGCCACGAAATGCAGGATCGAGAGCGAGAAGAATGCTTAAAAGGCCCAAAGAAGATGCCGGAAAGTTCCTGAACGTTTCTCGAAGACAAGACTTAAATGTCTGTGGAGGCTTGAGGGCAGTTGACAGCTTGAGTCTTTTGTAATAATCATCCGGAGGAGTGCCGCAGAGTTTGAAAATTTTATGGGTTTGTTCAACCTGAAAACATTAAAGGATCGAATGCTAAAATATAAGCCATCTTGACGAAATATTTTGAAGAAATGAACTAAGATTTTGTTTGGTATAGTAGATTGGATAGTACTTGATATTACCTCCGTTCGACCAGGCATAATCGGCCTCCCAGCAAACATCTCGGCCATGAGACATCCAGCGCTCCAAAGATCGATACCAACCCCATAATCCGTAGCACCTAACAGTAGTTCGGGTGCTCTGTACCAGAGTGTCACAACACGAGTAGTGAGGGGACGCTTTTTCTCGGGATTGTAAAAATTTGCAAGTCCAAAATCCGCGATTTTCAGCATCCCGTTTCTATCAATTAGTAAATTCGACCCCTTAATGTCTCGGTGCAAAATTCCCCTTTCATGGCAATGCTGCAGGCCTGAAAGCAGTTGTTGCATGTAACACTTAACCTGAATGCGTCAATGCTTTTAATCAGCAAGCAAAATTGTGTTACATTCCAATTAATGATGAAACTGAATGAACTTGGAAAAAAAAAAAAGATAACTTTCGACCTGCGGTTCTGTGAGCCTTTCATCTGGTCGAGATAGAATTCTGGCTAAATCCGACTGCATATAATCAAAAACCAAATAAAGACTATACTGCATTCTTGAAGTGGCCAATCCTTGGAGCTTAACAATATTTGGATGATCCAATTTTAGTAAGATCATTATTTCTCGGGCCATGAATTTCACGCTCTCCGGTTCTGATGTGTCAAAACGGACTTTCTTCAAAGCAACAATCTTACCGGTATCCTTATCTCGAGCTTTATATACATTGCTATATGTTCCTTGTCCTACCTACAATGCCAAAATATTACCAGGCCTATCAAAAGAAATCAAAATCTGAAATTTATAAAAATTGTAATCTGACTTCCAGGAACTAAATCTAGACTGGTACGATTGAACAAGACTGGATGATATTAGAGAATAGAAAAGTTAAATTTTATTCTTTTGTACTGTCTAGTTGTGCCTAATATTGCACCGAACATGCTAAGAAGGCTAACCTTGTCAATCTTCACATAAGATTCAGCACTTTTTGAGACTATATTTCTCAAAACCTCTTTGGGAATATTATCAGTTAACCACTTAGGCCAACCATCCACAAGCTCATCTTCTCCAGCCTTCTTTATTTGATCAGTCTTTCGAGTAATATTATCATTCACACCACCACTACTACTCTTTCTACTTTCATCTATAGTCGTCGTCATCTTCCCTTCTCGAGCCCGTTCGTTACCTAAATTTGACTTCCCATTACTAACATAATTTCCTTTTCCATTCCTTGCCTCAGGTCTCAAAACTCGACCTGGTTCCTTATTGGAAAACCTTTGACCTGTCGATCTTCTCGCTTTAACATATCCATTTTCCAACTTCAACTTGGCTAATCCTCGAGGAGGAGAATCCATGGACGGCTTCGTCTGAGCACAACCCATATATCGAAAAAAGTGCTATCCCGGGTTGAAGAACTTGAACTTTTCGAATAATGCTGAGTTTTCGAATGATAGAGGGATAGTATCAATCCATTTGATGTATGACACATTCAATATATTATCATTGAACAAGAAAAAGAAATAAGAAAAATATGACATGTGTTAGATGAGGAAATAACAAGTGTTTTAGGCCGAAGATCAAGAAAATAATAGCCGGCAGGCCGGCAAGAATTTTTGGAATATTATTATCTGTTCTTTTCAAATGATTTTCAGACATTTGAAAGTTCTTAAACTTAGCTTATTCTGTTGAATTTAAACCAAAAAATAAAAAATAAAATGCATCATTAAACATGGCTGTTCTAATTGGCTTTTCGATCATTTTTTTCCCTCATGATCTTCGTCTTCTTCTTCTTGTTTCTTCTTCATACAACCTACAAAAAGAATGAAACTACAAGAAAGCTAGCCTGCTACATATGTGTAATGCAAATTAGGGTATTGTCTGTCCGAAATTCTGGGAATATGCTAAAACAATTGAAAATATACTAGTTGAGGTACAAAAATGTTGGAAACGTTCAAACAAAATCTCACTCAACTAACCCTGGATAAATATTAAGCCCCATTTGATTTAGATAAAAATCAAAATTTAATAGACTATTTTAAAAATTTATGAAACATGTTTAAAAAGTTGATAAAAAATTGTAGATTACATGAAATGTGTGATTAAAGTTAATTGTCGACTTCAATTAAATTTTTATTAATTTGTTTGGCGGAATCAAACGGGTCTAAATAATATTTTATAAGGGGATTGAAAAATACGTTAACATTTTCAGATGGAACCACGAATTCCAAAACAATTGGCAAAGCTAGGTTCTAAACCCATGTGCATAGAATGAATTCCTTATTGCAAGTGAATGAAGGTGTAGACCCTAGTTAGTCACAATGGCCAAATGTTCAGCAGTTGGTTTTCAAATGCGCGCGTAAAATGCTGGCTCGTGCATACACATATAATGGATTGTGGAATTCTTTTTCCTTCACTAATATTTAGGATGTGTAAGTAATTGACTCGTTTTTTTCTCTAAACTCATCATTTATAATAAAATTTTAAACATGAATTATGCTACAAGTATTTGTAAAAATAGTATAAAAGCATGTGCTCGTCTAGAGATGGTCCTTGCACGGGGTGCAAGCCCATTTAATTAAAAAAAGAGAACGTGAAAATTACACCAAGCCATACTTTAAATATTTAATATTCTAAAATCATGTTGAAAGTTTGACATTTCAAAAATCCGATGTTTTATATTTAAATATTAAATATTATAATACAAATTTTATCATAAACCCTAATTAATTTATATCTCATTCCTCCTCTCCACTCTCTCTCTTCTCACTCGTCTCTCTCTCCACTCTCAACTATTGCCTTTCTATTCTCATCCTATGTTTTATATTTAAATATTAAATAGTATAATATAAATTTTATCACAAACCCTAATTAATTATATCTCATTCCTCCTCTCCACTCTCTCTCTTCTCACCCGTCTCTCTCTCTCCACTCTCAATTGTCGCCTTTCTATTCTCAGCAACCTTTCGACGGCACATCACTGACGACAAACAGTTGCGATGACGAAGTTAGTAGTGTTGGTGGTGGCGTGGCGATGGTGGCTCTTCTCACCCATCTCCCTCTTCACTCTCAGTCGCCCCCTCTCTACTCTCAACAACCTTCCGACGACAAAATAGTTGCAACCACTCTTTGGGCCGCTGCGACGACAAACAGTTGCAACGAATCGGTAGAGACACTTTTTTTGGGGTGATTGGGCTGCCGACGACATACAACTGCTTAGGGTTTAGGTGTGTTTTCTGTTGGTAATTATTGGTTGATGATGGCTGAGGCGATGGTGGTGGTTTTGAAACTATGGTTTATACTATTTTGGTTACTTTTGTGGTTCACTATTGGTTGTTATAGTTTTGATTATGGATATGTGGTTTTTCGATTGGTGGTGAAGGTCGTTTTTTGGTTTTTTTGGTTGATGATGGCTGAGGCGATGGTAGTGGTGGCGGTGGCAATGGCGGTGGTGGTATATGGTGCGATGATGATGGTAGTGGTGGTGTACGGTGCGACGATGGTGATGGTGTGCAGTTCATTTTTTCTCTTCAAATTTTCTGTTGCATTAACGGTGGTGCATTGGAGGTAGTTGTAGTAGTGGTGCAGTTGTGGTACAAGTGGTTGATGGTGGAGAGGCATTGGTTTTGTTTGTTAAAGTGGTGGTGGTGGTAGCTTCCACATTTTGGAGGTAGCAGGGCGATAATAGTGATAATGATGGTGATTATGGAGGTCATGGAGGTGGTCTTAAGTGGGATGAAATTGGGTTGGATGCTTGTGACTAATTATTTGGTTGATTGTGACTAATAATTGGTTCATTTGTAATATATGACTTAAAAATTGTGATTATGACTCAAAATTGATAAGTTGTGACAAAAAAATTAATTGTGACCAATTAATTTAATAATTTGCAATAATCAAATGAGTTGTGATCAATAAAAGTTTTGATTCTGTGACTAATGAATAATCTGTGACCTATAAAATTTTAATTTAAAACCGAAAAATAATGTTACATATAAAATTTTTGATTTGTGATCGAAAAATAAGTTGTGATCAATAATTTATTAAGTTGTGACTAAAATTAATCCGTGACTAATTAAATTTTTTTATTTGTGACCGATGATCTGACACGACCCGTCCCGAATCACCCTAATGGACTTGAAACGTGACGTGCGCCAATAATAGATGCTGACTAGATGTTAAATCTATCAGGGGCTGACTATGAGTTAATAAAAAAATGCAACAAAATCAAATGCTTGTGTAAGACATAATGCGATGGGCCCAAATTATTTACTTTGTGCTTCATTAAAATGAGTTATAACATTCAACATGTCGTGTGGCTCTCATTCCGAAATCATTAGACTCTTCCAGCTAAAAAGAATCGATTTCCACTTGTAGGAAAATCACGGAAAAATATATGAGTTGATAGTTCAGTGACTGAAGAAGTTCGAAAATAATCATACTTTTTCATTTTTACATTTTTATCGAAAATCGAGTTTATATCATTGATAACTTGCAAGATAACATCATATAATTATAGCTAAAACGTGAGACATTCACATAACGTGGTAAAATATCATCTCAAATCATGATATGAATATAAGCTGATAACCATGCTATAATCTCATCACATCAGTTGTATTGAAAAATCCACCAAAAATGTATTCTCTGACTAAAATCTGTAATCTACCCCTCGAGTTAAGAACTTTCGCCACGGGCCTTTGACCCCTCCGTGAACAAAAGTCAATCTCAAAGACCTCTCATAATCAATTTTAGAACACGGTCAAAGCCCCTCCGTGTACGAAAGTCGGTCTCAAAGACCTCTCATAATCAATTCTAGAACACGATCAAAGCCCCTCAGTGAACTGTATGTACAGGGTCGAGACCCCTTCATCTCCGGTCCAAGACCTCTCAGCGTAGTATAGAACACGGCCAAGGCCTCTCAGTGAATTAGAAGAAATATATAATCACAGGTACTTTTCTGGTCGATCTCAAAATCATACCTCATATTCTAATTCACAATGTACCTATACAATCTTTAAAATCCGCATGTATCATAATAAAAGATATTTCCATAATAACCATATAATTCAAACACATAATTACATATAATTGTACATACTTTAACAATATATTTAATTTATAAATACTTTAAAAATATATATATTTTTCCACTCACTGTACTATGTTCGCAAAATCAACCTGTAAGCAGTTCTAATGTCAGTATCGTCGTCTGAAATACGATATAATTTTTAAATAAACAATTAATTATTTTAAATAATTTTAATAATTAAATAGGCTATACCCAAACTTAATCATTTTACGTTTAAACAATTTCTAAAGTTTTTTTAATCATTAAAACTAGTTTTTCTTTCATCTTACTCAATTTCATAGTTTATTATACTTAACCCCTTCAATAAAATTGAATTTAGGCTAACAATCTAACAAGTATAAAATCAAACATAATTTAACAATAAGTAATTGTTTACTTACCTTTCAAAATTGAGGAATTCAAGTCTAATAGTGTAGACCACTTATTTTTTAACAACATAGGCGAACTTTCCTTTTTCTTTTTTTTTCCTTTGTCTTCTCTTTTTTTTTTTCTCCTCTTTCTTCTCTCTTTCTCCCAATCCATTCTCTCTCTCCATGTGGAATGTGCAAAATGGATTTAGATCCAAAATTGAATTCCTATAAAACAATTCAACCCACCGCCTAACTACTTTATTATTATTTTATTGTTTTGTGGCTTTTTTTTTTCTCCCGTCCTAGCTTGACTCGTTTGACTAAAGTTTTTGTTTTAACCATTTTAAGTAATTATATTATTTTATTATTTTAACTTGGTTATTACATGATCAAACTTTGAAGTACAAAATTTTTGAATTGTGATCGTAAAATAATTTGTAAAATAACATTTTCGATTTGTGATCGAAAAATAATAAGTGACTAATTAAATTATTAATTTATGACCAAATTGTATAGATCTGTGATCTATATATATTTAATTAATAAATAAATAAATTTTAATAAAAATCTTATTTTTGAAATTTGAAATTTGTTTTCTTAATTTTAAAATGTATGATACTTAAACTCTTACTTATGAAATTTTCCCAAAGAGAATTCTATGTATCAATGCAGTGCACACGCGCGCTCACACACACAAAAACTCTTACTTTTTTTAACCACAGATTTTTGGGACACGCACACTTAAACTCTTACTTTTTTTTTAACCACACATTATTGGGCCGGATCCATGCTGTTACCAACTCATAGACCATACAAAGCCCACAATATAATTTATGTGGCAAAAAAAATAAAAAAAAAATACTATTTAAAGATGACATGATAATATTAATAAAGTCAATTTTACAATCTTGATCAACTCATTTATCCTAACCTAACAGATTTT